TATATATATATATATATATATATATATATATATATTCAGATTATTGATGTAAAGGATTGTTATGACCAATCTAATTAAATATCTTTTGTATTGTCTCTCATTCAATTTATGTGTTTTTTTATTTATTTATAGGATTCAAATTTGAGAGACTTAAAAAATTTAAGTCCAATTTTACTCAAATCGATAACAGTTTGTTATTTTATAAGTTTTAATTCATTTAAAAATATATTATTTTAATAAATTAAAAAGTATATTAATTATTTTAATAACATGCTTATATATTTATTTCTCATTTAAATACTCAATTAACAATTATGCTTTAGATCTTAAGTTTTTGTCAGAAGAATAAGTATGTGATAAGAAGGGTTAAATAAGTTTTTCATCCTTTAAATATTTTTGAATTTAAATTTTACTCCCTCAAAAAAAAAAAAAAGTTTACCCAGTTTTAGTTCCTAGTTTAATTTTTAACAGTTTTAGTTCCTAATGTTAATTTGGAACTGCTTAGTGTTTACATGTTAAGCAAAAACACATATCAACACGATCCATAATGACGTGGCTATTACATGTAGTGCCATGTGGCATTTATTTTATGTCTTAAATGTATCAAAGATTAGCATCGCTGATAAAAAGTGGAGAAATTTTTTGTTGGAGACTAAAAATTCAATTATAAACAGTTAAAAGGTAGGAAAACTCATTTAACCCTCGTAAGAATTAGTAAAATAAATAATCTTTTCAAGATTAAATATTAAAACAAATACTTTTTCAAGATGTTTATATTAGCTTGAACTGTAAATAATTTGAAAGAATAATTTTAAATCTTTCTCCAACATTTCTTGGATATTTCCAAGATATTAATGGTAACTATTGAAACATATTTCCAAGATATTAAATTTACTTCTTCATTTAAAAATTACTTTATAAAACTTTACAAAAAAATTATAAAAATTTGATAGAAAATATGAATTCATTCAACATATAATAGAGAAATAGTGTGTTTTATAGAAGTGAAAGTGAAACCTTATTCCTCCTACCATCTAATTATAAATATTATCGTTTTAATTTTTTGCATAAAACAAAAAAAATATTAATAGATACAAAAGTAACATTTTAATCTTCTATATTAGAAAAAATGCAGCCCAATATTAAAAAATATTGCTAAAAGTTTATATAAAAACAATAATATTACAATAAAAAATTAGAATGATATCCATTAAAAAACCAAATCTACTGCAATACATGTTACTAGGCGAAAAGAGTAAATGAATTTATAAAATTTGTTTCTTATTAGAAGTGAGCAAAATTTGTTTCTTAATTTGGACAGTTTTGAACCTTCAAATTAAACCCAGTTCGAATTATGTTTTAAACCTTCTCCACCTACACTCCATTCTTTTAAAATATATAAATTCTTAAAATAATAATTATTGATAATAAAACATTTCTTAATAGATAATACTTTACATAACATTATACTATATTTATAATGATGTTAATTAGTTTAAAACATATACTATAAAATATACTTAATTTAAATTCTGCATCTCTTATTTTATAATTTAGTTATACATATACTAATATTAATATATTGAGTTGGTCTCATTCCATATATTTTAAGACTTGATTAGGTCAAGTTCAAATTTAAATAAACTCGATCAATTTCTCAGATGAGGTAAGGACAACACTAATCTCGTCCCAACCCGTCATTTGCTAAAATCTGCTGTCTATCCCTTCGTTTCATAGAAGTGGGTAACGCCACAATCAAATCGAATTTTGGTACCGTTGTCTATGGTCCTAACTCCTAACAGGTGGTACCCGTTTGTATGTAATGATAACAAAATCAGTAAAGTTCAAACCTAATGCTGCCTTGATACATTGGCAAATGAACCAAAATTGCTTGTGCTACAAACGGTGCAAACTGTGAGCCACTCATAAAATTAACTCTTCCACTCTTCCATACATCACCTGAACTAAATCGTAGACTATCTTGAGAAAATTAGACACGCTTTTTAATCATGTTTTTCATAAACCAAAACAAATTTCCAGGTAACTTCCAAAGTCAAGCAATAAAAACAAAACTGAGGGGAGATAAATGCCAGTACAAATTTTTGGCGATCCACTACTTGTGCTTAGAGCGTGAGTAGTGATTGTCGTTTGGATTTCTTCTCCCACCGAAAACTGCCAATGCTTTTCTTACAGGAGGCTGGAAAGGAGCTTTCTTATCTGTGTGGTGGCTGAAGACACTGTCTGGTGTAAAGAAGTCATCATCCTACCAAAGTCATGTAAAAGTTCAGGTTAGTTTTAAACTAATTAAATTGACTGAAAGATCACCACATTCCCATGGGACATGAATCAATTAGACACACAACCTGCTTGCTGGCTTTCTTCTTCGTTTTAGGATAAAGTACCCTTTGAGGAAGTTGATCTTCACGGAGAATGAGGTTCTTTGTGACTGCATCCCTTCCACCTTGGGGTAAAGGCAGTGAAAACTGCACACCAAGTCATGTAAAAGTGATAAAGAATTAAACGCGTGTATCAAGGATATTATATACATATTCCATCTTGTGAATGGCATTACCCTTGTAAAATGATTCTTGAGTCGAAACATTCATACAAACTAAAATCAACATCTTTCAATCAGAATTTGTGGAATGAAAATTCCCATAAAGACTTGTAAATTCCCAGGAAAGGTATCATATTCTGATTCAAAAGCTATATTTATTGCTTAAGTAACACATGAATCAATTTAAGTGTTCAACACTTGCAAAACCACAAATGACTATAAACTAGTACATCACAAATTCACAATGTCTGCTGCAACAAACTTACTCTATTTAAAAGAAAAAAGATTAGCAAACTAAAAGGCATGAGAAAAATGAACCAATATCTACTACTACATCTTGTATAAGTATATACTCACCTTTGTGCCACGTAATGTAACTCGTGGTCTACGGGCTGCTAATACTATTCCATTTTCATTTACAGTGACGGCTACCTTCCTTAGGGTGCCACCATTTCCACATTTTGGACAGAAAATTCTCCCAATCTCGGCAGTAACAGTGTAACAAGCATGACACTTGAGTATCCATCTGGAATGCAAATTATTAAAAGATAAGAACATACATAATAAACTTTTTATATCATGCTGCATAGAATGGAATCAGAGATTAGAACATAGAATCAATAGGCAGATGTCATTACATAATTGTAATATTAACAAAATGTTAAATAATATATCTAGAATCTCGGTCTTAATTCCCATGCGCAAGCAAGCGAAGATTTTCTTCACATAGTCAAATATTGAAGTCGCTACTGACAATTACCTGTGCAGCTGGTGTATCTGTGTTCCTCCAGGTGCCAGCAAGCGCAAACCCATTTGGAGAAGCACATTTTGCATTGCAAAGTCACCAGTTACACATGCTACACTTGATTCAGATAACGATCTAACCATCCAACTTTGCTCACTACCATCATCATCAGCATATGAAAAATCAGCAGCTTCACTGGTCTGACTTGCAATCTCCAAGTGATTTGATTGGCTATCAACAGTATCTGCCTCACTGTCACATGGTTTAGTGATCACAGTTTCATTGCCATTGGATGCGGCTTCCACCAACCCGTCATTGTCTGACTGGAGTTTTTCCGGAGACAAACTTGGTTCGTTTTCTTCATCAAGAACACCAAGTGAACCATCTTCCAGCCTCAGATTCTGCAGAACCTCATAGATACTTTCCTCGTCTTTGTTCTCTTTTACCACCTGATCATCCCCAGACATAGCATTTCCAATTTGTTGTTCTTCATCCCTTTCATGAACAGGCAGATTTAAAGCACTAGCATCTTCACCAACACTTCCCTCCAAATCTTGATTACTGGACAACGAATCATAATACTCGCGCCTAGCTTTCCTTCTTAGATATCTCCTGTGAGTACTCCGACTCACAGCCGGCATCCAATCACCAGCATTGTCATCAACCTCTCCCTGCGAGGCATCAATTCCATCAGCCACCATTTTCTTCTCATCAATGTTTATCTCCTTTTTCTTAGGCAGATGCCTCCTGGTCTTCGTCGTCACCCCCTCCTCTGGAATTTCAGAAGCGGTTTCACTTGCTTGCTCCACAGAACCATTCACAGAGTGTTCATCCTGAGAAACAATGTTCAAATTCAGGTCCTGCAAAGGAAGGATTTTCGAATTGGAATTAGTCGACAATTCGTCAGCCTGTTCCAATGCCTCCCACTCTTGCAAATTGGGCACATTGGAACCCCATCCAGGCATGTCCTTCTCAGGCAACCTCTTCACATTCAACATTTGCACAGGTGGTGGAGCATCCCTGATATGTTTCGTTCCATGAATCTGAGCCTCCAAAGTGTAAGTGAGAGCCATGAGCTTAATATCAACATCAGAGAGAGTTTGTAGGTCACCAGTAGCCCTAGCAAATTTGATAACTAGCATGAAAATAAAAAAAATAAAAAAAGGTTTTTTTAGGTTAGAAATGAGTTATTGAATTACATAATTTGAAGGCAGAGAGAAGAAATATGTAATTGGGGATGGATACCTTTGTTGATGGATTCGGGGGAGGGTTCCATGGTTTGTATGGTGAAGGGGAGGAAGGAGAGTTTGTGCCGCGAAACGGGGTCGCGGATTTCTTCCATGACTTGGGGGATGGAGATGAACTTGTCGGCGAGGCCGTGGAGCCTCTCGCCGGATTGGATGACGGCGTTGGCGTCGACGACGGCGACGGAGATGGCATTGGGGGAGTCGGTGGTGGGATCCACCAACACTTGTTTGGGGGGCTGTGGTGGAGGAGGTTGCTGCTTGACGACGTTGGTCCAGCATGAAGATGATGCTGATGCTGATGCAGAAACTGAAGTAGGAGCTTCCTCCATCATTCACATGAGAGAGAGACGCGCGCACGAACAGAAGGGGGTTGAGTGTGTTTTGATCGCTAAACCCTAGAATAGAAGAGGTTTTTTCTTTTAAAAACATTTATGTTTACTTTGGAAAAATAGAGACACTTTCAAAAAAAAAAGAAGTAAAAATTAGAAAGAAAAAAAAAAGAGAAAAATGTAACGAGTAATTTTAAAAGTATAATATCAAAATCCCAAGTTTGTGGTTCAGCGATAGGGGTTGATCCACGCTTAAGCAAGGTCAGGGGTTCGAATCCTGCCTTGTGTATGTATGCAGCCGCGTTAAATCTTGGGGCTAGCTATCCCACCTTTTGAAGTGCCTCCAACGTGTTGGCCCTGGATACTCCAGGGACGAACCAACTAAAAGTATAATATCAAATAATTTAGAAAATAATAAAAAGATAAAAGTCTAACAAAAGTTAAAAAGACAATATCTTAAAAGTTGACATTTTCATTCTAAAACAACAATTTTTTATTTATTTTAGGATATAATTTAAATTTTTTTAATGATTCAAAAATATGAAATTTGTTCTTTTAGATTTATCCTCATAAAAATTATGAAATTAGGATAATGATAATTATAGAAATAACAATAGTAGATTTTATGAGAGAGTATTTATAATTGATTTTTTTAATAATAACAATGAGAGAATATCACATAAGAAAAAGGGTTTCTAAATTAAAAAAATGATAAAAAAAAATAATTTCAAGTAAATTGAGGATTAAATAATAATAATAAATTAATAACTAATAAATTATAAGTTATTTCAATTAATTTATACAAATAAGTTATAAATTTATAAAATAAACTTTCATTTGTTGTAATCAAATTAGTTAATATGTTAATCAAATGATTTTATAAATTAAATATATTTATATTAATAAAAAAAATATTTTATTTATTTTCACGCGGCTTAATATTTCAACACGTGAATTAAGGATAATAATAAATATATTAATCTTTTATACAATTTTATTAAAATAATATATTCTCTTTATAGACAATATTTTTAATTCTTGTAGTTAAATAATTTATAAAAAAATGAAAATGTTAATTAATATTTTTAAATGTTAAATTTATTGTACGGAAATGTAATATTTTATTATTATAGTAATAATTTTGTGCAAATATGCATCGACTAACATTGAACTATCATGAGATATATCCTTACTCAATTTCAAAAAAAAAAAATAGTAGACAAAAGTTTCAATATAATTGTAATTTTAGGTTTTTATTTAAACCTTTTGTCTTTATATATGATCTTATTATCCAATTTTTTTTAAGAGTGTAATAATCATACATAGTCTCTTTTATATCATCAACCGATAATTTTTATCCAAACAAATTTAAAATAATTATTATAAAGTTCAGCAAAATATGATTGTGGAAATTTTATTGTGATCGGATGATATCTTTGTTGCTTTTAGTCGATTTATGAGTCGCCACTTTAAATATGTCATGCTTACATGAAGATTTTCAATAGTGGGATAAATATGTTTGGAAATTTTTTAGCACATTTAACCAAAGAATAAATGGGTAAACTGTGGGTGCCGGTGGGTGTTTCTTGTTGGTAAGTGAGTGAGTAAATTGTCCTCAAAACACCTTGTTTTACACGCATGTCAACCATGTATTTTAATTATAATTCATTTGGGTTGTAACTTGTAACTAATTTCAAGTAGCTTGTTCACCATTGTATGGAAATAAAAAGGAAAAATAAAGTTATATCAAGAATAATGCTAAACATAAATTATACACATGCATCTCTCATCCCTCAATAAATATTTGATATGATTACAGTTAGTTCTAATTGGTTTCATCAGCACTGTGTAAAACAAATTTTGTCATTTGACACATGTGAGATGATACGAAATTAGAAGATATGTATCACGCACTATCTGTTGTGAATCCGATCGTACATTTATTAATATGTATTGGTTTCATATATAAATCATTTCTATACCATAAACTTCCCAACAAGTGATATAAAAAATGGAATGAGACATTAATTAACAAGAATAGAAAAACAAAGACATCAGACATACATCAGTGTCACCATTCTTTCAGTAGCTTTGATGACTGCACAAAAACCAACCAAGTGGTCAGATTGGCAACTTGGTAGAGAACCAACCGATGCTACTAATCTTGAACCCTTCAAGGAAACTGAACAAGGATGGAGGAGTACAAGGAAGAATGAATGATGCATATGCATATCATTTTGGATTAGTCATTGTTGAATCCAAGGTATACTAGGCAAAGAAACATGGCTCCAAAAGTTGCCAAATAGTTGGGAATTGATCCATAACAATAAAAGGAGGGCATATTAGATGGCTCGGGCTTTCACAAGGTCCAAGCTCATCTCACTTGGATCAGTTGCTTGCATATCAACTTGAATGCCATCCAACTCTCTCTTGAATCTATCCTTGGAACTTGCATACACCATCTTCATCCTCACCTTTGAGGTATCTGGTGACCTGTATGCACCCATTAACACAAGGATTCAACCAAACCATTGCTCTTAATTATTGTAATGTAAGGTCACAAAATGAACCATGTAAGGTGTAACATACCTATACATATGGTAAGTAGTAGTTCAGCCAGAACAATATTCATTAAATCAAATGCAGCATTAGTGTATATAAATTGGACAAAACTCGGATACAATACTATAGTTACTGTTGGTATTATTTTTTTAATTAGAATTGAAGTTTTACTTCAATAATATGTATTAAGTGACAAGGTGAAACTTCAATTCTAATCCAGAAGAAATATCAATAATATAGTATTATACCTAAGTTTTGTCCATATAAATTAAGTACCATGCAATGAAGAAGATCTTGCTTTTTTGGCAGTTCTCATCAGTTGTGAAATCAAAATCATAGACCGCATAACGACACTCATCAGCAGGAAAACTGGCCATGTCCTCATAACTTTCGGAGGGGTCCCCTAATTTCTCAACCACCACTTGTTGTTCTTGAATTTTGAACACGATGAACCTGTAACTCCTCTTTGCTTTAAGCTCTTGAAACTTCAATTTGCAATCGTCATGCACAGCCATTCCGGACGCTGCGTTTGCCTGCCCCAAAATTTCATGTCATGATCTTAAGATTTCAATGATTGTTATTCATTCTTTATCAAGGGTCAGATAGAAAGTGAGTTTTAATGCAGGCAAATAAAAACCACTTGCTATCATCTTTTGATAACAATCATGGGGTATGTAACACATCATCTTCTTCTAATTTGATAGAATTTTAAGATCCTAGAAGCTTGAATCTAATCTCCACACGTCTAGTGAAGGGTTGAAATGGATATGATGACTTAAATTCGATTCTCTATGCTGTCTTTGTAATCATTCTTACTGATAAAATATAATCTCCGCAAGTCTATGTGAATGTTTCACATATTACAATGCTAATAGTGTTCTTGTAAAGATTTTGCATCCAAAGATTTTGTTAAACATGTAAATATATACAATGCTAATAGTCTATTTCTTTTTATTTATTTTTTGTCTAAATGATGGAAAAGTAAGAAGAGGGTGTTTGTCTTCAAGATTATTAACAAAACAGGAACAAGTATGCAAAATAGAGAAACAAGGGGACAAGAGAGAAAGCAAACCATTTTGCCAGCAATATGTGAAAGAAGCGCCCTGCGCAATGTGAATGAAATGAAAGAGAGGGGAGCAATAGAGATTGGAAAATGAGAACAATAGACTGAAGATAACTATGCAGAGAAAATAACGAATGAAGATCCTTGTTTTTTGGACAAGAGAGGTGGAACTTTGAAGCCTAAGATAGCATGTGAAGGTTAGAATAACTAGGGGGAGAAATTAATGGATGGATCTGTTGCAATCTGTTTTGCTTGCTTCCTTATCAATGTATCCACAAGTTTATTCTATGCTTTCACGTTAATTTCTTTCTTCTTGTATCTATTATATATACATCAAAGAGTTTGTTTCAATTTTTTGTTGACCACAAACGTTTTATAGAATAATTATTTTTTGGACTAGGCCGTTTGTATGGTGTGGGGGGCTTAAAAAAATTCCTAAAAAAACATTGTTTGCAATTTGTTTGGTGGTTGTTTCTTATTTTTAGGCCCCGCTAGATGATTATCTAGTAACAAATAAATACTAATTAATGTGTGATCTATGGATTTCTTTGTACTTTCTAACCTTATTATCATATACAAGGAATGCACGGTAAAAATTAATAATGTGAATATTTTGAAATTAAATATATTTTTTGGTATATTGATGAATAGAAATAAATAAAAAGAAATTCTTTATTTTGGCAGAATTAAATGCACAACTAATGCAGAATAAATTTTATGCATTCAGCATTATAGTTATATTAAAACACTACTATAATTCTCTTTTAAATTTTTTTTTTTGCGGAATTATGTAATTTTTTTTACAAAATTAATGCAAAATAAATTTTCTAAATTCATTACTGCAGTTATATTAAAACACTATTTTTATATATATAAAGATAAAGATTTTCAGTTAAAAGAATTTATTAAGTTGTATAATATTATGGATTAAAAAAAAAGTTGTATGAGATTAAATGAGTTTATACGTCAAGGAAATAGATAAACTAGAGCAAAATGGCTTAGATAAGGTAGAGGTTAACATGTTACTTGAACAATAGATGAAATCAAAATCCTAGCCCTTTTTGATCATTTGTGACAGAATTTAAATTAATTGACTAAATTTCTTACTTGATATTCCATTTTAAATTCCTTTAGTATTTAAAGTTAATTGCATACTTTAATGTCATAAAGTCCCTTTTAATTTGAATAGCATTCAATTAGTTTGATTTAGCAAAATAATGTGTATCAGATTGACTTTTCAGATTTACCATTTTATTACTTACTCAACTCAGTGTACTTGCTGGAGGCGGTTTTCAGGCAACAGCATATATGAATGTGCCAAATTTAAAAGATTTTCTAAATAGAAATATTAATCCATCATGAATTGAACCACGCTACTCACTTGTTTACTTCAATTATCAATTTTAACAGGCAAGCTCTAAAAAGAAAAACGTTCGTTTTCTTAGATTAAAGGAATTATTAGAGTGCCTTTTCAGGATTGCAAGGAATCCACTCTATTATCAGCTTTAATCTTTACTTGAAAAGAAGAAGAAAACAACTGTTAAAATTCATTTTTGACAAATAAGAATCTCAATCCCAACAAATTAACTAGAAGCAATGGAATTAGACTTTTCCATAACATACAAATTAGATCATTTACACTCCAATATAGAAAAATGAAGGTCCACAAGCAAAATAAAATAAGTCAGCTTCCTTTGTTCAAAGAATCCCAAAGCATGGCCATATCAACATTGCCTCCTGAAACAACTATTCCTATATGGTTGCAATCCTTCCAAGCAGGATTTTTCTGGAAAGTATCGGATAGAACAGCAGCAAGACCAATTGCTCCACTTGGTTCAACAACAACCTTAAGAATTTCAAAACATAGTTTCATGGCTTTTATTATTTCACTGTCTTCCACTGTTATAATGTCTTCAACAAGATCCCGTACTACAGGCCTGTACCATCATAACATGGTACATAAGCAAAAATGCCAAATCAACATAAGAGGAATGTTAAAAACAAGCATCTCCATAAAATAATAACCAATAGACGGGGAAAAAAGCCAGTGAACAGAAAAGGACCTCAAAACTTTATTTTCAGTTCACTTCTTAACTAATTACTATAGAGTTAATTACCATGTGAAATCTCCAAGAAATGCTCGAAGTCCATCAGCTATAGTATTGGTCTCAGGCAATCTTATTATTCTCCCAGCTGCTTTAGATTGTGCTGCATCATCAGCCCCTTTAGGTTCAGAAGCAA